ACGTGCATCAGGAAGAGAGAATGTGCCCAGTGGTGCTTTAGTATGCCTAGTAATTTTCGATTTTTGGCAAGATTTACAGGATTTCACCCAATTTTCGATATGACGTTTCATATCGGGCCATACATAACGAGAACAAATAAGCTTCGTAGTAGCTGCAATTCCTGGATGTGACAGATTATGCAGATGATTAAAGATGAGTCTGCGAAAGGAATTCGGAACAAATGGACGAGGAATGTCTGTTGACATGTCACAAAGAATATTACCATTAGAATACTGGCACGGTTTAAATTCTAGTTTCAAAGATGATGTGTTGTTTTTGAGAATGTCTTGTACCTCCGGATCATGCTGTTGAGCTTCCGAAAATTTTTTTAAATCCAAAAATGGAGATTTTGTTATGGAATCAATTTCGATTCTTGAAAGAGCGTCAGCAACGACGTTTTTTGAACCTTCCACATGCCTAATATCAGTAGAGTACTGAGAAATAAAATCTAAATTCGCAATTGTCGAGGTGAACATTTATGAGGGTTCTGTTTAAAAGCGTATATTAACGGTTTTTGATCCGTATAAATTATAAAATTTCTGCCCTCTAACATGTGTCGGAATTTCTTAATTGCAGAATAAATAGAAAATAATTCCCTATCGTACGCGGACCATTTCTGTTGACTTTTATTGAGTTTCATAGAGAAAAAAATGCTATAGGTTCCCATGTTTGTTGAGACAACTGCATAAGTGTGCCGCTATTGCGACGTCTGAGGCATCTACCCAGATGCTTAAGCTGGGCTCCGGGAATAGGGTGTCTCAAAAGGGTAGCCTGAGCAATGGCATTTTTGGCAGCAATAAAGGCTTGTTCAGCATTCTCGTTCCAATTTAATTGTGGGGATGAATCCTGAACACGAGAACGAGGTTTCTTTTTATTAATATAGCCTTCTGACAATTTTATTAAAGGAGAAAGAATATGTGCTGCTTTAGGTATGAAACATCTGTAAAAGTTAAACATGCCTAAAAATCGGCGAAGCTGAGTGAGAGTGGTAGGTTGAGGAAAATCTAAAATACATTTGACTTTGTCAGGAAGAGGTTCAATTCCGTTTTCACTAAGGTGAAAACCTAAGAAATCAATAGACGTTTGACCAAAGGTGCATTTTGAAACATTTATGCAAAGTCCATATTCCTGAAGTTTGGAAAATAAAGCTTTCAAATGCCTGCAATGTTCCTCAGAATCTTTAGAGGCTATGAGCAAGTCAGCGAACGAAAGCGTAACACCTTCTAAATCCCGCGTGACTTCATCTTAAAAACGTTGAAAGTCGCGGATGCATTGCATAAGCCGAATTGCATACGGGTACTTTCGAATAAACCGAATGGTGTGCATATGGCGGTTTTGTGGATGTCGGCTGGGTTAATTGGTATTTGATGGTATGCTTTAATCAGGTCGACATGTGGACTAAAAATTTTAGTACCGTGCAATGAAGCAGTAAAATTCGGCTAAAGCAATGGAATAGGGATACTTGTCTTTTATTGTTTGGGAATTCAGTGTGCTATAATCCTACATTCCAAAATACACTTTTATGGAACCATGTGAAGTGGGGCATGTAAATAGCTTGCTCGAATGGTCTCAAATGCCCCAACTGCATCATAGTTTGAAGTTTCTTGCTTTGTTATTTTTAAAGCGATCTGGAGCTAATCGACGAGGTTTGCACGGCAACAGGATGGACCTTTAGTTATGATATAATGAACGGTGTATCGTGTTGTAACACAGGTTATGGTTAGGATCTGGTAATTAGTAAACTGAAGGAAATTCTTTTAAAATTTTGTGATATGGTGTATCACTAAAATACAGTTTTTACTGAATAAATACCTGCATTTTTCATGCAGCAACCGACGGTTTTAAAATGCGTTTTTGAAATCTTTGAGACATAACTGTTTTTAAGATTCAGGCATCAATTCAAAGAAATGGTGGAAAATCTGCTCCAAGAATGGGTGTACTACATTTGACTATAAGAAAAGTCCATGTAAACTGTCGTCTTAATTTGAAATCCAAAGAAAGTGTTTTTTTTTACCATAAACATGAATAGTTGGAAGAATTAGCAGCAAAAAGTGTTTGTTGGGACGAATTCCATTTTTGAGAATTATTTGCTGGAAGTAAGGAACACGTCAGAGCCGGTATTCGACCAAGAATGAAAAGGTTTGTTCTACTGGTCACGAATGAACAGGCGACGTGAAACTTGAGGCAAAGAATAAGTCACCTCTATTCTTTGCTGGTTTTGCAGTTTTCCCTGCCATGAACAAGGTTTTGTACATTTGTCTTCTCTACACTTTCCCCCCCAAAACGTCTATGATACCAGCAAATAGAATAATATCTCCTTTTGGAACTGCTTCTTTCCTTATTGCGATCTCCGCGATTTGGCGAGTGTCCACGAAGAAAGAGAAATGCGATTCAATACGTTTGTTTAATTTTTTTTCTATTTGTTTAAATAATTTATCCTCAAGAGACTGATCGACTGTGCGAGAAACAGCACAAGTCCCTGGGGTTGGATTTACTTCTAAAATTCTGTCGGCAATTTCTGCAGCTTTATCTACAGTTAAATTGGAAACCGCTGCCAAAAATAGACTGAACATTCGAAGGCAAACGTTGAAGGAATAATTCTAACATTAAGTTATCAGGAACATTTAAAGATTCTGCTTCGACGTTTCATATTGCTAAGCAAATCGATAGGTTTTCAAGAACCATAATTCCTTCTCCAGATAATAATGGCGAATTCTTTGCTGAGAAGATTCTCCTGAACGATTTATTAACTCAGTTTTTTGCTGCATATGGATCAGTAGGGTCTGGTTTCATAAGTAACTCCCACACTAGAGATGCTATATCTGGAGGAAGATGAGCAACTACATAATTATATTTAGTAATGGATTGTGTGCTAGGTTTGGGGGTGGTCAAGAGCAAAGGTATTTTCACACATAATAAACCATAAAGATGGGTCTGATCGGTTTAAACCGGAATTGGACGGCATAAACTCAGACATTGGCAGGTTTTTAAGCCAAAATAAAAGCAAAAATTTAACTAAAGAAAATGAAATTAAATGATAAGTAGAAAAACAGAATATAAAATGATCTATAATTACTACTCATCTGTGATTCGGAGGACGAAAACCGATGTAATCCATTACTTCTGGTTTGGAGATCTTGAGTGATGGCTTGTATTTAAAACCGAAAGTGCTTGAGAACTGTTCATACGATTTAACACAGTCCCGGGTTACCATTATAGAGATTTCCTGTTATGTTTTTACCACCAATCCTCGAATTCTATATCACAAATTATGTTCTTACTGCATTAATATAAATATTAACAAGACATAGTGCACAATAAAAATTAAGCTTTATTTAGGAACTTCGCGCACACTGCCCGGACAGCCTGCCTGTTTCGCTCTGCTCGCTACTCGTAAGAAACTTCTCCTCTAGGGTTGCCACACTTATCGGAGGGCGCAAGGCGCGCTCCTTATCGTCATCACCACAAAAGTGTTCGGCTGCGAAACAATATTCAAATTTTCATTTTTAGAAGATAATTGTTCACTTCACTCACTAGAGTTTCTAGCTTCTGTTTTAAAGATCTCCATCGATCAATATACATTTCTGACTCATCTACCGCTTTCTCTATTTCGGTATCGGAAGTATTTTCAGAATACAACAAATGTTTATATTTCTCTTCACATGCTATCATTAATAAAGCTTTCTCTTCAATTAGCTTTAATTTATTAATTTTATCAGCACGATTTAATTTGATTTCTTCCTTATCAAAAGTATTACATGCTCGAGTAAACAACGTTCTAAGTTGCTTTCTATCTTTCAAAACAATATCCATAATGCACAAAAGAATAAAAGAAAATATAAAAATATTTTTTCACTCACTCTTAAAAATGCAGCCGTAGTCCTGTCTCTTGGACGCCAGATATCCCGTTTTACCTTCGATATCAGAAGAATTATGATGGAAAAGGAGTATACAATCAATTATCCAATGAAAGACATCTCCTCACAACACAGTTTAATATTACGATTCTATTTACAAGTCTAATTAAGTGTTAGTTTTAGCTTTGTCACCTCAAAGCAATACTCAGAACATAAATGGCATAAAATATTACTCATCAGTTTTTAAATACTCATGAAAAACATCTCAAAAAGTCATTATTCTCTTTACTTAAAACGAAAGTAAGCAATAAATAAACTCGAAAACGTAGATATAAAAACTCAACTGTTGCCAATCGCGATTTACTAAATTACATAAAAATAAAGATAATAATCAGGTAGAGGTTCAACTTCACAGGGACGTTATTATTTGCTGCGCCGTGAAAGGTCACTTGAGTGTCTTCTCTTCTTGGGAAAGAGAAAATTTGTATGCTAGATGGGAAAAAAAGTCCCCTTCCTTCCACTCTATTTTGAGAATAATTCAGTCCAACTGGCCCATGCGTGTTTGCGCTCGTGGTCGCTGATGAGACGGTCGAACTATACATATATACACCACATACTAAATTTCAGGATACAATACAAAAATAACCAACTACTGACAACATCAGCACACTAGAAGTAACCATTTTAAGGCAAGAAATATTTTAAATGAAACTCCCCGAAGTTCTCCCATTGAAGATTCCTTTAAGTATAATAAATAATACAAATGTCTTGTCAATATAAGTAGGGGCTTCCCTTCGTCTCTCATTCATTTTGAGCTTATTATATAAGCTGCTTTGGAGATGAATAATAAGTTTCAAATGAAAATGAAATTCACCTTCAATACCTCACTCAATATACTATATATTTACAACAGCAGGGCCCGTTTTCGTATGAAAAGTTCAAAATTATTTTTGTCTCAATCAAAATTTCCCTCTTTCTACCTGACTTTTCTTTGCCCTAAACTTGATTTTTCGCCCTATGTGCACAAAGACCTAGCGAGTGCAAAACAAGACGTCTGTATTTCTGAAAAAAAAGAGTGCTAAGAATGAGTTGTGTATATAGAAATGGGTAAGAAAAAGCGTGTTTCTAATAATTCTGGAGATAATTTAAATTCAGAAGCTGATACTTCAAGTAATTTGAAGAAGGAAATATCTTCTACTGTACCTGATTCTGATATTTGCAGTGAAAATATTCCGATATTTAAAAATCCGAAATTTGTGCTAGCAAAGACTACCCCAAAGAAAAGCCGTGTTTGGAAATCATTGCGACAGATTACTGCTGTTGAAAAAGCTTTACCTCGTGTTGCAACTTATACAAATATTGATGCGCCTGCCTCTTTAAAACCTCCCAAAAAATATTCTGATATTAGTGGTTTGGAAGCAAAATATACTGATCCACAAACTAAATTACGTTTTGCTAATGCTTCTGAATTCCAGTTGATTCGAACTCTTCAACCAGAAGCTATAAACTCTTATCTTTCTCTCAGGAAAGCAGCACTTGTGGGATATTGAACAGGGTAAACTCTTGTGCGAAATATATCCTACAGGTATAAAATATTAAAGTCATTAATATTTTAATATTTCCTTAACTGTTTTTTTGGGGGGATCACATGTAGAATCGGGAAATTCTTATGTTTTATTTATTTTTCTTGTTACACAGCTTACTGTAGTATGCATTTTTAGCATAGTTGATTATTATTATTCATGCGTAGTTACTGTAGCTTATGCATTTTTCCTCCCTTAAAAAATATAAATTGCGTATAAATGTAATATAAAATTATCTACAGTTTTAGATGCTGCATATCATCAATTATAGGAAGCTTTATACTTTTGATGCAAAAGGATGAAAATTTTAATATTATCCACAGCATAAACAAATTAACAAAATGAGGACTAGATTTTTGTTTTGATTTATTAAAACGTGCAAAGATTTACAGCTATACTTAAAGATTCTTATGATTGAGATTAACTTAATTTGAATAATGAAAGACAATGTTTTGGGTTGATCTTTGGATTATGGTAACTTGGCGATTTTTTTTGCGAAAATTTGGTGACCAACTCTGCTACAGCAACCCTCTATTTTTTTTTCCGCGTTTGTTTTCTTTTTATTTACTCAACACTTTTTCCAACAATCTACTAGCTGAATTACACTTATGCTAGAAATTTTATGTAACAAAACTGCTTAATCATGACAAATATTAACTGCAAAATTGGGAAAATGAGCACAATCGCAAACTCCTTGCGCGTTTTTCAGAATAGCACATACACATAATAGAATAGCACATACACATAATCAGAATAGCACATTTACATGTCGACTTATTTTTACTTAAAAAAACATCCCAGAATTGCAAAAAAATGGCATTACACACACTCTTAACTTTATCCATCTACACTGCTATTTTCTCATAAATTACAAAAATTTGCACGAAAATGCAGGAAAATTTTGTGAATCTTTTAAACTCGGTAAAAAGCGCATATATGAAATAACCTGATCGTAAAAAAGTATATACCCTTTCCAAGGATGAACATTTCCACATATAAAATAAATAAAATATCCAAAAACTTTACCTGTAAATTATCTATTATATTATAAATGTCACCAACGAATTTATACCACAAACATTAAAAATAGTTACAAATGCTTAGTGTCAAATATTTAAATTATTTCCATACACGTTTACTTAACTGAAACGTATACCAAATTGCTACAAACATAAAATTGACAAAATAACTATCATTTAATTAAAATATCACTAAACCATGTACACGTCGACTTATTTTTACTTAAAAAAAATCCCAGAATTGCACAGAAATGGCATTGCGCACATTCTTCACTATATCCATGTACACTGCTTTTTTCTCATAAATTAGAAAAATTTCATGAAAATACTCAACGTATACTACTCAAACGTATTCCAAAATACTACAAACATATAACTCACAAAATCACGATCATTAAATTAAAAAACACTACTTAAAATATAAATAAGCACATACATTAAATTAATAAAAATTAGATTACAATCCTAATTACTTTAAACTAAATCATTGCTAATAACAATTTTCCAATAATACCATATCATATTTATTTACTCCTTAAATTTAGAACAATGCATAAAAATAATATCCTCAAATGATTAAAAATACTAACTTACCTAATCTTCTTCAGAATTATTAATTACGTGGCACGCACACTTCCCTACAGAAAGAGTTCCAATCGGCTGCAGTACTACTTCTAATTTCTAAATTCGAAATCCAGTAGTCAACTGGTAGTCTATTCACCCAGTAATAAGAAATTAATAAAATTTCACCCATACTCAAACCCTTCCTTACACTCCGTTTCACAAAATGTCCATTTTCACCAGATTTCTTTCACCGCCATTCAAACTTATCTGTAATATCCTTCCTTTCACACAATCTCATTTCATTTCCACATTTTGGACATTCATACTTATCCGCAATTAAACCTACACTCATACACCATTCAACCAATTCTTTTGAATTATCAGATAAACGCATTAAAAATTTAGAATTCACTTTAAATAGTGCCATGCAATCCGAAAATTAATCAACACTATTTCACACAACACACAATGAAGCTTAATACAAAATAATATAGTACTACAGATATTTTTCCAAATTTTACCCCTTTTCCGATTAAAGAACTGTAATTTGTCCATTAATGTCACATGACATATCTCATGATCTCTCATTTCCTTCACACAAAATAATGCGTAATCCGAACTGAGTACTTCTCACATTATTACCAAAGTTCTAGGTAGTAACCTTATCGCCTCCAAAATGTCGCCAAACTACCTGTTACCATATTCCAAAGATCAGCCATTTTTTGTAAAATATGTCATGCTTATTATGTTTCAAGTTACATACATGAAAATAAATTAGCCAATACGTTTTGAAGTACTGTCATAATGCTGTACATTTATTTAACATTATTTTATCAGTTACTGGAGAAATGAGTTTTTGAAATTTAAGAAAACAATTTGAGATCAACAGAACGTTGTCAGATATCTATGCAAAAATGATATTATAGGTACTAAAAATGATATTACAGGTAAAGAGCTGATTAAGAATTTTATAGTAGCTAAAGCTAAGAGGGGGGAAAATATAATGAATATTGCATGGCATATTATTGCAGATTTTATCCAGTTTTATTATGTTTCTGTTGAAATTGAGATTTTTTTTACCCGTTAAAGGTGATTTATTTCTATATCTTGTGTTTAATATGCTTAATAAATAATTTGTTCTTGAAATTAATTTCCCTTTAATTTGCAAATTTCTGCATTTTATGGGGGTGCCCCCAAACAGGAATATATAGGAACGTTTTATCCATGTCACAGCACTGGTTGCAAGTTTCAGAACTCATTTTCCAAGCTTAATGACAAATAATGTTCTCTGACCTCTAAATTCAAACACAAAACAAAAATTTCCATGAGATAAATAATGACAAACTAGTAGACTGGATGACCTTTTGTGAAGAGGAGCATAAATTTTTTGGAAGCAATACTTACCTATAGTTAGTTTGTGGAAATCTGGATGGTACCATAAGCAGAACGTCTTTACAAATTCAGTTTCTGCATTCCCATGTGGACCATTTTCTAGAGGACTTGAGTGATGAACAATGAAGAAAAATGGAGCAAAGGTATTAAAGTAGATGAGACTTTCTGCTACTTTTTAGTTAGAAAAAGTAATACTCTAATAAAGCTCATAGAAAAGAAGCAATTGTGAGCATTAAGAATATTTCTTATTTTGGAATATCCTCTCTATTATATACATGTTTCAGTCTAAGATCAATGTAGGTGTTTACACTATTTTACAAGTTTGTTTATGTTATAGATCAGCATTTCTGAAACTTTGGATCACAATCCCAAATGGTGTCACAAAGCAAAACGTTAGGGATGCAAAAATTTAATTCACATACATAAATTTAAAGAAATTAAATTACTAAGACTTTACATTAACTTTACATTAAATTACTTTACATTAATGAGATTAATCATCTGCCTTATGAAGCCCAAAAGGAATTTGTAGAGCTATTGGCTCCTGACTCCAAATTCATCTTTATAATTAGAACTCCATTTCTTTAAATAACTTTAATCCACATTTTTAAATTCGAAAATAGTCTTTATTAATGTTCTTAGCAAATATAAACAATTCCTTAGAACAACAAAACTGAAATAACTTTCTGTTGCCATTCCAAAAAAACAAATAAAACAATATTAATTGTTATTTAAAATCACTGTACAAGTTCAAGCCACAATAGAACTATCATTTGACTCAATGCTTGTGTTTCCACAAAAATCGTTGAATGAATTATGGATCTAAGCTAGAACTGAATTTCATGTAACTTTTGAAATAGTATTAAATGTTCTGCCATTCAGCACCGCATACTTATGTGAAACAACTTTTTCAGCTTTAACAGTTATTAAATCTCTATGTCGTTCAACACTGCAGAATGCTGAAGATGCTTTCTGATTTACCAGTATGTAATTTGTTATGCAACAAGAAACAAGCATATCCGTGATTTTCTTTTATTAATTTTTGAGCTAATCTTTGGAATATGGTAACAGGTAGTTTGGCGACATTTTGGTAAGGCGATAAAGGTTACTAGCTAGGACTTTAGCAGTGTACATGGATAAAGTCAAGAGTGTGCGCAGTGCCATTATTGTGCAGTTCTGAGATTTTTTTTTAAGTGAAAATAGGTCAACGTGTACATGGATATCATGTATGTGCAATTCTTAAAAACGCAGCAAGCAGTTTGCGATACTTTCTCCCAATTTCACACCTAATCTTCAGTGTGATTAAGCACTTTTGTTCCATAAAATTTCTAGCATAAGCTTAATTCAGCTAGCAGATTGTTGGAAAAAAAATGTTGAGTTAAAAAAAAAAAAAAAAAAAATGCCTTTACTTTGTGAAAACAAAATGGCTTCCAAACAAAAACTAGCAGGTTGCTGTAGCAGGGTTGGTCGCCAAAAATTCGCCAAGTTACCATAAACCAAAGATTAACCAATTTTTGTTTACTTGAAACAAATCCTAAAATACTTCTTTATATATATATATATATATATTATTTATCAATTACAATTTATGGGAAAATATTTATTTTTATATCTTTATTTTATATTTGGTACTCTTCTGTTGAGAACAGATTCAGAAATGTATATATGTATGCACATGTGTATGCATGTATGTGTGTATATACGTGTTTGTATATATATACATGCACATATATACACGATATACACACATACATATGTACGTACTTATATACATGCATTAATGAACACACACATGCATACATACATACATTTCTAAGTCTGGTCCCGATAGCAGAAGAGTACCTTATATTTAATAGATGCAGTCATGGAAAAAAATCTCTTATACAGTCAAAAGTCGTTAATCCGGACTCGTCAGGACTTCGGCGATTCTGGATTATAGATCATCAGTTAAAATCTGGTAAGATGGCATGCAGAAATTACAAAATTAAAAGTATGAAACCATAATTTATGAAATAAAGAACAATTATGATCTAAAGGGTATCAAAATTTACAAAAAGAAAAAGCTTAATATTTATTTGTTTACTTTAGTAAACATTTCTTTCAATGTAAGCTGTTTAAGTTGCTTCGTTTCATGTAATAATGCTTTCTCTTTAATTCTATTAAACAGACATAATTTCTTGTTTAGTTACAAAGTTCCGCTGTTTAAGTCCTATAATTGCTGTGTCGAGAATACCGACTAATTTCTCAATCGAAATTTTTTCATTTTCAATAGCCTCTGTGCCACTTTCTTCACTATCGGAAGCGAATTATAATGACGAGGAACTTGATGTAAATCATATCAAAGACGGAGTACATCGAGATGAAATACTACATTTACGCTCTGTAGATCCTTTACATATTAGTAAATATATATCAGAAATTCTATTTGACATAATCGAGAGTTCAAGCTTACTTTTATAAAATTGCTCTAACAGTCTGTAAAAAATAATAAGCCGGATCCAGTTCGAAGATTAATTAACAACGCAATCTCCAACATTAACTGAATTAGATAATTTTAGTTTAGCTTATACCGTCCATTATACATTAAACGAGCATGCATAAACGTATTATGCGCATGCACACATGCATATTCGCAGCTGTAAAGGTCTTATGCGCACGCGTAACGCCTATTTATAATGCGCATGCGTCAACGCAACGCATTGCAGAAAGTTTGTAGCTTTGAGGTCCGGATTATGGGTGTCCGAATTAACGACTTCTGACTGTATATAAACGAGTTCTGAATGAAAAAGTTCTGAATGAAAGTGCTGGTATAAACGAGTTCTGAATGAAAGTGCTGGTATAAATAAATATTTCCCTATATCGTTTAGCATATTAAATGAAGTTTAAATACCTGACAAATCTGAGGTACTTAAACGTAATACTGGTGTTAAAAGGTAAGCATCTCGACAGCAACATGACTTTCTGTTTTTCTAGTACCCTTTTGTACAAACTAAAAGGTATTAGCTGATGAGATTTTGTATCTACATAAGTATATTCGTGACATGTCTGGAATTACATATAAACAAAATTAGATTAGGTTAGATTGTTTAGCACTCAAAGACTATCTGTAAGGAAAGGGATGCCTTCTTGGACGGTTTTCTAAAAACAAAAATTAGAATATTTTGTCACTTTTTCTAAAATCTATCTTATTTTCATTCCTAATAAAGTTTATAGAATTATCAAGGACACAGTGCTATCTTGTGCTAAGTCCATCCCTAGAGGAAGGCAGAAGAAATATAAATAGTTCTGAACAGATGAACTGTCTTTTTGAAAGCCAAGAGAGAGAGGCTTAGAAGAAAGGCAGAGTTGACCTCCCGACCCTGCAGTGTTCAGGCTTGAGAAAACAATCTGCATACTTTAGAAAGGCTCTTATTGCCAGTAAACGATCCTCATTTAAGGAATTTATTTCAAAAATAAATTACCAAACTGATAGTAAAAGAATGTTTAAATTTGTGAATGATCCTAATGAATAATCCTGCTGGCTCACCTAAACAAACCTTCATAGTTAAACAACTTTCTTTGAATTCTTCTGTAGCGAATGCTTTTGCACAGCATTCCTGTAGAGCTAATAACAAAAACACTTACACAAAAATATGTTCGTCCAGAAATAAGCAAAAAACTACACTCCTGCAATTGAAATTTCAATATTCTACTAATTCGGTGTTTGAGGCACCTATTACTCGAGATGAACTGACCTATGCTTTTAGAAGCCTTCCTTGTAGAAAATCACCTGGTGGAGATAGATTCCATTCTGAGTTTCTCCACCATCTTGGTCCTAAAGCGTATGAGACCGTTTGGATTTTTTTCAATGTAATTTTAAACACTGGTATTGTACCAGCTGAATGGCGAACTTCTATCATTTTCCCATACATAAAAAAGAAAAAGATCAGGATGGTCTCCATAACCATAGACCAATATCACTTACTAGTATTATGGGGAAGGCTATGGAGAAAATAATTGTGAGAAGACTTAATTATTACTTAGAAACTTGCTGACTTCTTGCCGAGGAGCAGGCGGAGTTTAGAAGCTCCAGATCTACTAACGAACATGTTGCCCTCCTGAGTCAATGTGTCAAGGACGCCCTGGACAATAGAAAGGTCCTCACCGCCATTTTCATTGACCTCAAGTCTGCCTACGACAAAGTACAGCGGGAGTGCCCCCTACTGAAACTGTTGGGGCTAGGCATTAGAGCAAATCTTTTTAATTGGATTAGAGGCTTCCTGGGCCAGCGCTCTTTCAGAGTCAGGTACGGCAATGCTCTATTAAAATCTAAGATCTTAAAAACAGGTCTTCCACAGGAAGCTGTTAGAAGCTACTTCCTTTTTAACATCTATATTAATAATTTGATTTATAAAATACAAGAGATTTCTGGCGTCAAGTGCCTTTTATACGCTGATGATTTCTAAGTTTCTGAAAAAGAAAATGCAGTGATAAACGTAGAGACTTAACTCTCTGCTTCCTTGAACGCTTTGGAAGTTTGGTATGATACTAATAATATGGAAGTGAACTTAAATAAATCATATTGCCTGACTTTCTCACTTATGCACCAATCTTTGGATCTTCAGCTGACGTATAAGGGTACCCAAATCCTCTTGTGTGATAAATTTAAATATTTGGGTGTGATTTTTGACCACAAATTAACATGGAAGCCACATGTAGAGGACTTGTCCAACCATGCTACAGAGAGACTCAGTGTCCTTAAATGCCTTGCTGGGGCAAGGTGGGGTTGCACTAGACAAACCCTGCACCAAACTTTTCATTTGTTTATCCTTCCCCTTCTGACTTACTGCTGTGAACCACTTGTTGTGGCCATGGATAATGTACTGTAGAAAAAATCCAAAATCAGTGTTTACGTATTGTTTCTAGAGCCTCTGATTGACGCCATGTTTATGTTAACTGGTGATAAACCCTTAAGAAGTGTAATTCAAGAGAAGGCCTTAAATCTCTGGGAAAAGATCATTAGAGTTCCCGGATGATTTTCACTCTGGAATGAAGTCAATCAAGATCTGATTAGAAATCTAAAGACCCAGATGGGCTTTCTACAGAGAGGTTTTTAGTTAAAAAATTCACTTGGTTTATTGAATGAACCAGAATTACTTGTTCCACTACAAAATACAATAAATTTGAAATCTTTCTGGATAATCTTGACCTCGGTCAAAAAGTAACCAAATGTAATACAGATCCCTCTATTTTGAGAGCCCTTGTTTTCGAAGTATTAAACATTTTTTACCCTGAGCCAAAGTGGCTTTGGATCTTTACTAATGGATCTCTCCTGTTTGATGGCCCTAATGCAGGTTCCGGAGTTTTCTCCAAAATTTTCTCTTTCTACATCCCTGTGGGCGGAGGTTCTGCATTTGACATTGAAATTGCTGCTATTTGCACAGCTCTTGACCAGCTTTCATGCCACCTGGAAAAATTCACAAGAATTGTTATACTCAGTGATTCACAAGCTGCTCTGTTGGCTATTGTTTCAGATAAAAATCCCATATCACAGGACATTGAATTGTCAACATTATGTACAAAACCTGGCTTCACTTGAGAAAACTATAGTCTTCCAGTGGGTTCTTGCCCGCTGTGGAATTCAAGGTAACACGAAAGTCAACCTCTTGGCAAAAAAGGATGCTTTAATCATGCAGAATATTTCTCGTCCTTTGCCTTTCCATACTTTTGAGGATCTTATTAAAAGATCTTTCAAAGTACGTGCTCAGGAAGATCTCTGTCATCATGTTTCTTATAAGTCTTGGAAATATGCTATCCCGAATTTGTGTAATGGTCCAAGACGTAGAGCGGTCGCTGAATTCTGCCTTGCCTCCGGACGTGACTGCCTACAATATCATCTTCATAGATTCAAAATTGTTCCTTCTCTGATAGGCACTCTGTGCAGCACTGGAGAGGTAATGGTTGCCTCACATCTACTCCACGGTCCTGCTCTGCGCAAGACTTTTCTCGCCGAGCGGTACTGTGAGGCAAGAGATAATTTAGATTTATGAACTAGGTTACAGCCTTTTTTTTTTTTTTTTTTATTGTGTTGCTGTATTCCATGTTCTTTGTTCTTGTTTTTTGCTGTAACTGTTCATAATTTGCCATTGGAAATTTAAAAAAAAGTCTCATTTTCATTTACAAATATTTTGCCTTACACTTTTATTGTCATTTTCCTCTTCAGGACGTCCAGCTTGCTTGAAATTAACTGTTTTCATTCATGTGCCTGACAAAAAGTTTAATCTATTCATTAGTATTGCATATTACTAATGAATAGACTTTATTTATTTCCTGTTTTGATTTCTTAAAACACAGTAATGAAGAATAAAAAATATTATTATTTCCTGTTTTTAAAGGGGAAAGATAAAATATTTGAAAAATTTAAATTTTTAAATTTATTTTAAAATTTTAATGTTTTTGAAAAATATTTTGGATATATTAATTTATTTTAAAATTTTAATAACTACTTTGATTATATTTGCTTATGAATAAAAATTGCTGTGTTTTCACTATACAACTGCTATACTTATAATCATTTATTTTTTCCCACTTTATTATTTATCTTAATAGTAATACTTTTTTGTCTTTTAGAATGATGCGACTGTCACATTTAAAGATAAATGTAAGAACTCTTATTGCAGTACCTGGTCGTTATTATGCTTCAAATTATTTTTTCATATCAACTCCAATTTTTTATGTAAATGGAGGTATGTTTTATCTTTACTCTTGTTAATTGTGAAATATACAGGGGTTGGACAAAAATATGGAAACACCTTTAAAAAAACATGTTTCTTTGCTTAATATGGTGTAGGAAACCCATTGGCATCCAAAACAGCTTGCGGTCTTCTCGGAATGGATAAATACAGTTCCTGTATGTTTGCCAAAGGAATATTATACCATTCTTCCTGCAAAACAGTGGCAAGTTCAGATAACGATGTTGGCGGTGGATAACGAGAACGCACTTTCCGTTCCAATGTAGACCACAAAGGTTCGATAATATTCAGGTCTGGTGACTGTGGTGGCCAGGGGAGATGGGACAACTCATCCTCGTGCTCAGAAAAACAGTCCTGGACAATGTGAGCTGTGTGAACAGGGGCTTTGTCGTCTTGGAAGACACCATCACCATCGGGGAACAAAGTTTGTACCATGGGATGAACTTGATAAGCCAAAATGTTCACATAAGTCTTGGCAGTCCATGAGCCCTGACACAGTTGTCATGGGGCTAGCCCATATGGCTGCCCAGACCATAACAGAACCCCTGCCATGTTTCACTCTTGGCAACAAGTAGTCTGTATTATAGGTTTGAGATGGCGTTCTCCAGACGTAAACTCGGCCAGAAGTGGGAAACAATGTGAAAGAAGACTCGTCAGACCATATTACTCACTTCCACTGCTCTATAGTCCAGGCTTTATGACTTAAACACCACCTTTTCCTGTTACAGGCATTAGCATCACTGATGAGTGGCTTCTCAATTGCAGCACGGCCACCAATTCCCTGTTTATGAAGCTCCTTTCTAATTGTTTTATATGATTTCTAATTTCTAATTGTATTATGTTTATGAAGCTCCTTTCTAATTGTCTCACAGGGTTTGGTAACACAACATTCATCAGCAGTAGTCTTCTTATTTTTCGTCACAATTGCCCTTAATGATCGTCTGTCACGATCACTCAGGACACACTTTCGTCCGCGCTGTGATTTAGCAGATGATGTTTTTCCGCTTTTCAAATGTGCGGAATAAATCTTCGATACAGTACCTCTTGAAACACTAAACACCTCGGCTACCTTGCTTACGGAAGCACCTACCATACATGCTCCAACAATTTGCCCACGTTCGAAATCTGTTAACTCTGACATAATGCAATGACAACCTCACATAACAGTACTCCGACAACAACTGAACTGTTTAGCACATTTACGATGTTGTATAGGTGGCGTCAGTAGTCAAAAACGCCAGCGCCACCTACATATTTCATTAAAATCAATCTTTCTTTTCAAACATGCATTTCACGAGGTGTTTTCATATTTTTGTCCATCCACTGTATGTATGCTGTTAAAGGAAATTAAGATCTAGAGATTCACAACTCATTTTTAGGTACTCATTTTTTTCCTGCATGCAGTATAAGATTTTGCATTAGATACACTTTAATGATATGAAATGGATGAACGAGATACACATCAGTTTTATAAAATTTGTACCATTCGGTTTCGAGGGCCATAAAAAACCGCCAACTATTGTTGATGCTAATGCTGCCAAAAATAATTGTGGCAACCCAAATAATTGCGGCAAGAAGGGAAGTATAATAGTAAATAACTATCTAAGATTGATGTTCTAATTTAGATGAAAGGTTAATTTCCTATAATACTTTTTTATTATTATAATTTATATGAAAAAGGCTAAACATGACTGAATGGAAGCACAAGAGTAAATAACTATTTCAGATCATTATTATAATTTATATAGAAATTGCTAAACATAACCGAATGGATGCCTGCATTGCTATATTGCTACCGACTTATCGCTAAAGCATAATTTCATCTCGTTGGTTGTTCAAACGTAATTTTTTATAATGAATGATGCCTTTTCTTTGAAAATATTCTTAGTAAAGTCGCTCACTTATTTGTTTGCCGCATTTTACAAGGGTAAAAACAATTGGATTTTTGTCAATTTTCTTTTACTTTTTAAGTGAAAATAGGTCAATGTGATAAAGTCAAGGGTGTGCGCAGTGCCATTTTTGTGCAATTCTAGGATTTTTTTTTAAGTGAAAATAGGTCGATGTGCACATGGATGCCGAGTATGTGCAATTCTTAAAAATGCGTCAAGCAGTGGGTGATTCTGCACTTTACCCAAAATTCTATTGCCGACTTTTCGTCATGGGCAATTCCCAAATTGTTAAATCCATAGGATAAAAAAAAAAGGATTTAAAAATGAAACTAGTATTTCAATGGCGTCTTAAGAAATATAGAACTATATAAACTTATGCAATCTGAAATCAACGCGTACACTAGATTTGTTGCTCTGAAATGGGCGCGTTTGCTAGATTTGGCGCTTTTGCTCATACATTTTCGCTGCAATTTTTTTATGGCCCTCGAAACCGAAAAGGTAAAGCAAAAAGACTTTTAAAGATATTGTGTGATTTTCTGAGATATAGTTAGAAATAGTTAACGTGATCCTGATTATGCAAATGCAACTAGAAACGTAGTAATTATGTAACATTTTCAATATCTATGCCTGTCCTTAGAAGAACAAATTTATAGCTTCATACATTTGTTAAAAAGGAAGTTTCTGTAAGTTTATACTGCATTTACCCTGTTGCGAGTTGATCTTTTTCTGCTTTATTTGTTATTTAGAAAATGTCCCCTAGTTTATTGGTATCATTATTAGGATTAGCATGATTTTTTTTTTTTTTTTTAATTTTCATTTATCATGATTAACTATAGAGGGTAAAAGTATATTTACGGGCATCCCTTGGTGAAAATTCACGATTTTTGGCAGTACATGGATACCGAGTTTGTTTAAAAATCAGCGCTACACAAAGCCAAAATAATAAGACAAAGAATTGCACAAACTCGATATCCATGTACACATCGACCTATTTTCACTTTAAAAAAAATCTCAGAATTGCACAAACTTAGCATTGCACTTTGACATTATCCATGTACAGATCAACCTATTTTCACTTAAAAAACATCAGAGAATTGCACAAACTAAGCATTGCACACTCCCTTGACTTTGTCCATGTACACATCGAATCACTTGACTTTGTCGATGTACACATTGAATCCTTTGACTCTGTCCATGTACACATCAAACTATACTCACTTAAAATGTCAAAGAAGCAGCCAACAAAAAAATATATAATCTCAATAGACTACATTTTAAATCAAACAATGAAATAAAATAAAAAGGAAGTTCATCTTTGCACTACAGAAGGGAAATATCCACTTTCCTTATTTACGAATTAACACATCTTCAGTCAAACAAAATTCCTTAACAGCATCCATAAACTAAAATTATCTCAACTAGAATCTGTGTACTAGCGTTGCCACATAAATTCACAAAATAAAAGTCAAAAATATCCTCCGTAGCATTGTATCATTCGACCATACGCATTTCTTTCTTACAAACAGATCAACCTATTTTCACTTAAAAAACATCAGAGAATTGCACAAACTAAGCATTGCGCACTCCGTTGACTTTGTCCATGTACACATCGAATCCCTTGACTCTGTCCATGTACACATCAAACTATACTCACTTAAAAAAGTCAAAGGAGTAGCCAACAAAAAATATATATAATCTCAATAGACTACATTTTAAATCAAACAATGAAATAACATAAAAAGGAAATTCATCTTTGCACTACACAAAGGAAATATCCACTTTCCTTATTTACAAATTAACACATCTTCAGTCAAACAAAATTCCTTAACAGCATCCAAAAACTTCCTAAAATTATCTCAACTAGAATCTGTATACTGGCGTTGCCACATAAATTAACAAAAGAAGAGTCAAAAATATCCTCCGTAGCATCGTATTGTTCGACCATATGCATTTCTTTCTTACAAACAGGACACTTAATAATGGCTACTAAGTAAACCTTCATTTACATACCAGTCAAGTAATGCTCTTTTCCCCTTTCTTTCCAAATCGTACAGAAACTTCAAATTAATCTTACCACATTCAGCCATTTTACTGTCTAAACTCGAAAACAAGCAGTGTACGTATTAACCAACACACACAACAAGCCCTTACAAATTCACTGCTATCGTGCAGTTTGGCTAGTCTGGAGAACTGCATGCTTCCAAATATACATTTTAATTCTTTCGTTTCTTAGAAGAAGCCCATGAATTCTGAAGTTTTGTTATCACTAAGGGTTTGGAATAGTTTTATTCATTTGTATTATTACTTCCATTATTTAGACTAGTCGATTCAGTAATATTTCTGTCCTTCTGCACAGCATCTGTTTTTGCATTAAATATCAGAGCAGCTGTTGTACTTGGTCACTTCATGGCTGGTTTAGTTTTGTTTATATTTTTGGCCCTGTGCCAAATATCTAAAAAGTCACCTGGCTTCCTGCTGTAGGAAATTCCCAAAAAATAAACTATTATTCATTTATTAGTTGCAAAAATTTAATCTTTTGCATGTTGTATCAAAAGATATATGCATACACACTTTCACTGTAATCACATTTTTTGATGCTGTCTTCTTTTTAGAATCTTTATTTTATGAACTAAATAATGAAATTTGGTCAATAACTGTTGTTTTAGTGATTAGTAAATGATTAATTACTATCCTGAAAGTTAATGCAAATGTAGATCAAATTCGTCATAACTGAGAAATGATTAATTAGACTAATGATGCAAATGTTTAAAAAATATCAAACAGGTGCTAAAACATATTTAGTGTCGATTCCCAAAATCTGATTGTTTTTTAAATTACGATGAATCAAGTTCTAATCCATCAATACTTGCAATATATTGTTGGCCATTAAAAGTGTATCACCGGCAAGGATAAAAAATAACACAACTATATTTGTTGCACAGATTCCCTGTAATGCAAAGATGGAATTATTAAAATTTAAAAATGATGTAGGGGGGATAGGTCTTATGTCCAGTATTGAATGCTGCTATCATGAGTAGCAATAACTATATGATGAAATGTTGTCTAAGAAATCTTGAATTTTTTTATGGTACTACAGCTAATATTCATTGCCAGAACTCATCTGTCGTAGTCATTAGTGGTCTTTATTGAGCCAGTGTCTGTGATATCATTGATCAGATGTGCACAATTGAGGAAAGATCTTGTGAATGTGCCAGTTAAAGCAGAATCATAATAGGGCAGGTGTTAGTGATGACTGCCATGGACCTAGAGAAAGCACTGTGTTTGTAAGTGTATAATGTCTGTGTGGCAAGGGGACACACAAAATACATGGTGAACTGATAGTTCTCTAGAGTGCTTGTGTTAGGAGAATATGGTGGGAGACCCTCTTTCTGCTCCCAGGTTGTGCTCCATCAGAACTGGGATGGAGCTGAATAGTTAGCATGGCCCAACCATACCTAATATATATCTTCTGGGTGGTTGTTGTTGCTGCCTTGCTTCAATCTGTATCTCTGTGTCCAGAAAGTGTTGGATTTTGAACAGAACTGATAGTTGTGTGTTGTTCAATGGAAAGTAACTCTAGAGCATAGTCTTCCATAATGAACATTATTACCTACTAGTAGGTGTTGAAGAGATATAACAAGGTGTTATTGTTCTAAGGAACAGTAAGTAGGTATTCAGAAGATATTTAAAAGCAGTAAAAACATACTTACAAAATTTAGCTGTTTAGGCATTTTGTCAAAATAAACATTTGTTCAAAATTTAGCTGTTTAGGCATTTTGTTAAATAAACATAATGCACATCAAAGCTGTGCATTTTTCAAAATTCATACAAAATCATGTCAACCATCTATCCATACTGATGAGTTGTGTGTTAATTCCATGATTTTTTCCCCATTTTCAGTTCTTAGTATGTGTATAAAATTCTAACAACATGGCCCGTAAGTCTGTACTTTCCACAGTATCCCTTAATTTGCAGGTAATAATATATATTACTGCAGATGTTGTGGCAGGAATTGTCCATGTTCTGTTTGGTTCCATACTATAAGTGCTGTGGAGAAACTTGAGTTAAAACTTCTCAAGGAAGAATCAGCAAGCCATAAAAAGTAAGAAACTGTGTTTTGGCAGCTTCTGAATTTATTGAAAAATTAAAAGCCTTAGCATGTTTGTAGATATGGTGATGCATAGGTAAGTATCCCAATGAACATTTCCCATAGCAGCACCTTTAATTATAAAATTGTGTGCAGAGACTAGTATTCTAGTAATTAGTAAGAATATGATGTATTGCCTATTCATGCATTTGTGTGCATCATTAAAGGCACCAAGTGCAGCCACAGATACCACTGATGTATCATTAAAGTGCAAACAGTCTGACCCTGAAGATAATGTATTGCTGTAGGTGCAGACTCTTTATGTCATGTGATACTGTATTTCTTGTCCTAGAGCCCATACAACCATCTGCATGAGATGTCTTAGACATTGACAGTAGGGGTTGTTTTAAACCTGCAAATTATTTCATCCATCGTTCTAACTACTGTCACATAGCCATACCTATATGACAGTAGTTAGACTTTGACCATCATGAGGAAGAAGTAATTTTGCAGTTTGATAGTCTACATTCCATCATTACACTAGAATACTAAGCACTTTTAGTCAGATAAATGTGAAGGAAACACAATTCTAAAACCTATTCTGAAAAACCTGCCCTTTCTTCTCTTTTACACTGATTCTTGGTGGTGTAACAAGTACCTATTATATGCATTTGTACTACCTTATTGTTTATTTTTCAGTCCTAGTTGTTCTTTTCAAATTTCACATCAGTGGGCTGCTGTCTTCATATTGTTGCAATTTTAATGGCCAGTAGGGTATTTATGACTTTAAATATACAGTAAATAAATAATTTTCAATTAAAAAAAATTTTTGATGTTTTTTTTTTTTTTTTTTTTTTTTTTTTTTTTTTTTTAATTTATCAAATTACTTTTTCCCTCCTTCAGTATATTCTTGTTAATATCTACAGTGGAGTAGCGAGTATAACTGCCACCCGGGGCAAAATACCTTTTTGCCCCCCCCCCCCCGAAAACACAGTGATATGAAAATCCTGTTTGGAGACCATTTAGCGCCTCTCTGCGAGCGGCGCCGGGGGCATCATATATCCCCTTGCGCCCCCTCACTACGCCACTGTATATTTATAACATTTATTGCTTATTAAATTAATGCATTGTTGTTTTTTTATATAATTACAGCTCCTCATATCGGCCATATGCAATCATGTGTGTATGCAGATGCTCTTGCTAGAGTTCACAGCTTACTTGGGAAAAAAATTGTATTTTCAACTGGCACAGATGAGCATGGCTTAAAGGTAAAATACTTCAAACTTTGAAAAATATTAATTTTCTTTTCTTCGGGAAAGTTGAAAGCAAATCTGAAGTTTTCTTCTTGGTGGGAGAGAAATTCTGTGAAATATTATGTAATGTGTCGTGCAACAGTTAACAGAAACTCATTTTAAAGAATACTAAAGGGTTTTCTTCATATGATTAAAATGAAAATATGCCAATGTAAAATAAAGCAGAAAAACAGCCTTACCATTAGTTTAGATTTTAGTTTTTGCTTTTCTTACTTTGCAGAATTTTTTTGCTCATGAAGAAGAGTGATCTTTCTTAGATCACTCTCATTTATTTAAAATTCTTTGCCAATTAGAGCTGATTTTTTTTGGGGGGGCTTCCTAATTTTACATTGATTTATGCATACTATAAGAATCGAAAGTATTCCCATGTGTGTAATTAAAAGTGTCATTTTTTTAAAAATTTATGTACTGCAAAATTTTTTCTTCTGTTTTTACTGTTCTAAAGAAAACTTTTGATAATGGATAGTGGTTTATGTTTATTTTCTTCTGGTTTTAGCTAAACAAACTTCGTGCAGCTATGAGACTTTTAAATAAATTACTTTATTGGTCTTTGTGCTACACTGTTTAAAATAAAGGAAGAAAAAAGCTTTAAAAAGAAAAAAATTAAATTAATATAAAGGCTAAAAGTACAGGAAGCAGACTAGCAAATAAATTCATGATTACATAAAATACAAGATGTTTATACATTTTCTACATGTAATAGAAAACCATTTTAAAGAAACATTTGATATAAATTAATGTGATTATGTATAAATAAATAATTCTTGTTGTTTCTCTTTGTTTTCAGAAAAATGTGTTTTTATTATTAATAAATTTTAAACTTTTTTTAGGTGTATTTAACAATCTTTTCATAGGCAGTAAAATAAACAACTTCTTTTGGCTTTCATTTTTTCTTCTGCTATTAATTTTCGGGGAATTTTAATATGGGTAAATTTAAAATGAAAGAAAATACAGTAGTGCTTTACAATCATTAAATGGCTTTTCTTTTGAGTGAAGTATAAAGCAATAATTTGAAAAGTTGTAATTTTTATTCTTAATACAAATGCACTGCTCTGGAAAGTTTGAAACTACTTACTGAAATATGAAAAAGTGCTGTATAAAGAAACTAATAAAACTTTAAAATACAAAAATTACTTTTTTCCGCCTATTCTTTTGTTGCACTATCAAGGGCAAAAAAAAAAAAAAAAAAAAACCATGCATAGCATTATATTTCAGTTGTTACAAATAACTGAATTCAATTGGGCATGCCAAAGTGCTTCGATTAATAATTCGATAATATGATTTCAGACTATGCACACCTTTCATAACAGTGTCCTTTTACAGTGCCTTCTTTTAGAGAAAAATTTTCCTAAGTTATTCAAGTATGGTTCCGATTAGATCGAGTGTCAGGTATTGCCATATCTTTAAGTTTATCAGAATGTGTGAAGAATGTGTTTGAAGAATGTGTGATCAATGGATTATGAGAAATAACTCCAGATGTTGCTGGACACCCTAAATGCCTCAAATCTCTCATTATCTGTAGAATGCAAATCTAAATAAAAATCAGTAGGAGCTTAGTAGTTTAAAGGCATTAATTAGATATGATACATACTTTTATGATAACATATGATTATGATAACATACTTTTCCTAGATACCATTAAAAGTCATGAAGCATCAATGTTTCAGTAGCTAAAAAGTACATTTCTTGCTATATGGATTACCTGTATCTTATGAGGTGAATGTTTGCTTGTATAATCTTTCTCAATATCCAACTGCCAGCACAATAAATAAATGAATAGAATTTTTTCTTACCAAAATCTAGTATTTTGAAATACGAATACTCAACAAAAGGAAGCAGATCTGCCATAAAAGCAATTTTTCTCCAAAATAACTGAGATTCTTACATATCAAACATCTGCTGGTTAGGGAATTGGAGGGTTACCCTGTAAGAATAAATTGATTGATATTGTATTCATTTTGTCCATGATCACACATTCTGCTATTGAGTGATTGTGGAAGGAGTTGATGTTTTACTACTCTGTACTTAACCTAAACAATAAGCCCCCATGTTACCACCATACCTTCATATTATTTTCCTGTATCTAAATGATGATATAAAATCCAAAATCGCTGAAATCCCAACAATTCTGAATCTTTGATTTTGTACAGTATTTACATTGTTTTGTAGCATGCGAAACCAAGTAATTTTTTGCTTAAATATAGTTTCTCAAAAAATAATTAATTTGTGTTACTTACATTTACTAAGATTTTAATGGTTATTACAAGGAAATAGTGAGTGTAGTGGAATCATAATCAATAATTTTCCAGTGGGATGGCATTAAAAATGATGAATTTTGGAAAAATTAAGCCAGCCAATTATTGCTTATTGAAGGTGAGTACTGAAAATAAATGCATTTATTTCTTTCAACATGAATCCACTACAGTGAACTACTTTTTAACCCTTTGAGTACTAAATTATTAGAAGATTTTTATGCCCATGGGACAGATTTAGTTTGTTGCTATATGGATTAATATGTAAAAGTAATACATTTTATTTGGAATATATTTATTTATATTGGAACTCCAATATAATAATTTTGAAACAGCATTTTAATTAAAAAATAGAAATAAATATAGTAATGAAACAAAATAGAAATATTTATATAGAACAAGAACAACTTAATCTAATTTGTACCGTGTGGTCATATAATGAATATATAATAGTAGTCATATAATGAATTTTTAATTTCAGACATCTCAGGATAGTGTATCAAAAAACAGGGGTAATATTAAAGATAAGTGGAATTAACCTTATTTGCAACTGTAAAATGTCATAAACAAACGTCAGGCAATTGTTTGCAATCAACGCCCACTGGCGGGGCTGCCGCAAACATCAACGTCAAGTCTCACTCGTCAAATGTACCCATAGGGTTAATGAAAAGTTACATTTCTGTTTGCTTCTTGACTGAATTAGCCTTCAGTGAAAATATAATATTCTGGGACTTTAAATGCATTTACATTCTACATCACTTTGATTTTGTGCACAAAAAAAAATGCTTTCGTTTTTTTGAAACATTTTTTGTTTTGATGAGTCTGGCATAATCTCATGTTTGTCTATCTTCATCTTGCATGCATCTTGCAGACCATTCTGAAAATTAATTTTGAGACCATTGATAACTAGTGAGATTAAACTAATGAAGATTGAAAAAGAGAATTGCATTTTGCAACATAATAATTCTAGCACAGATGGTAAGTTGAAAACCATTTGCTAAACATTACTTCTCCACTTTGTTGCCAAATTTATGATCAAGAAAGGTGATTATAAACCAAATAAAATAAAAACATCTGCCCTGAAGATAAGGCTAGTGCTGACAGATCAACTTCCAATCCGCCCCGTGAAATTGATAAACAGATTTCGGATCTCAAAACGTACTTTCGCTTTGTAGATACAAATTACATATTAGTAAATATATATCGGAAATTCTATTTGACATAATCTTTCTAATCTATCATAACCTAATAATGACGTTTCTGCCCCCCCCCCTCTGCCGCAGAGCAGCGTGAAATTGATAAACAGATTTCGGATTTCAAAACATACTTTCACTTTGTAGTAAATATATATCGGAAATTCTATTTGACATAATCGAAAGTTCAAGCTTACTTTTATAAAATTGCTCTAACAGTCTGCAAAAAATAATAAGCCGGATCCAATTCGAAGACTAAGGAACAACGCAATCGGCAACATTAACTGAATTAAATAACTTTAGCTTAGCGTATAACTCCGTTACAATTTAAACGCGCATGTGCACAAACATATTCGCAGCCGTAAGGGTCTTACGCGCTCTCGTAAATGCCTGTGCGCATGCGTGAACGCGATGCATGCGGAGAAAGTTTGTAGCTTTGAGGTCCGGATTATAGATCATTCCGGATTATGGGTGTCCGAATTAACGACTTTTGACTGTATTTGCAGGAAACAATTATTCTGGGAATTCTATATCTATGTTCTACTGTATGTCTATTTAATACACCTGCAGACCTGAAAAAAATCTTTAATGAAAGAATTGCTCATATCATACAAATTAATTTTAAGGCTGGACACCTTTAATGATTCAAGTGTTTAAAGTATGGCATTACTAGTAAAAATTTTTTAAAAAAGGATTATTTGGATCATTATGCATATTTTGATGAGAATCTGTTTTTGTTTTTGATTTGATTTTTTAATATCCTTTTGTAAGTTACATTGTAAAAATTGAAATTTATCTTGAAACTTTTAAGAATTAGTTTAAAAATTGCTTTTTAAATAGATTAATTATATTTTCATAGGTACAGCAAGCATCTGAAGCTGCTAAAAAACATCCTTTGGAGTATTGTACTGAAATGTCAAGTAAGTTTAAGGTAAAAAGCTAGTAAAGGTAATTTTATTGCATGCAAATTTTTCAATAGTTTGAACAAAATTTAAAATAGAGAGGTGGAAGAGATATCTTTTTTTAATTGGTTTCTACTCTTTAAAACATCTACATAAGTGTATCTAGAGAGAACTTTAACACTTAATTGCAATTAGTTTATCTATAATTAGAAAATAATATATCATAGTTAATGTAGTACAGTTGATTTAAGTCTTAACAAATTAAAGCATCAAATTATGAAATATTAGAGATAAATAGCTTTTTCTTCAGTTCTTTTATGTTAGAAGAAATTATATACTAAAATTAAAATAAATTTGTTATAACCCTTTGCTGAGTATATTACTGCAAATATTAATTATATCAGACTATGTTAGTTTCTGTTAAATGCTCATGTTTTACACATTTTCCATATTTCTCTGAAAAAACATATGAAATCAGAAATCAGATTTTGTTTAGGGCAGTAGTTAACTAATTCAATCAAGCTATGTTTAGTAAGAATAAATAATAAAGTTAAATTAAATTTAAATAATTCTCTTGCACCATTGCTGCAAGGAATGAAATTTGAATTTAACAAACATTCTCTATTTGTATAAAGCAAATTTAAAGGTAATTAAAATTTAAGTTTTAAATTATGAAATTTTAATTGCATACAAATAAATGATTAATTATTGCTGCAAACTAATTTACAATATCATTTAAATTCTGAGAGCATATGTAAATTAAGTGCGAGTATCTAAAACCATGAAAAAATATATAATTCCAAAAAAATAATCCGAAAAATTTTTTAAAATATTTTTAAGACTAAATTAATTTGCATTAGTGAATAATTGTTGAGTAGGCAGGAGACAGATCTTATCAAGGGAAAGTTGTTTCCAAACCCAACGCTTCAGTTACTCAATTCGTATTTCATCATCCATATAGGCAAGGGTATAGTAGTATTCAAAACCAGAAGTAAATCAAATGTAGTGAATACTAAAAAATTTTGAGAAATTAACACTCAACTTAACCTTATAATAGCACCCTCTATTTATACAGTTAGCAGAAACATACTACTGAAACCTCACTTAGTTTAGCAAATGCTACTCCACTCTCCAAAATACAGATGTATAGAAGGTAAGTTAAATTAAAACTTACTATTTACTTGCCTTTTTTAGTATTATTTATGTACTTTTTATACATTGCATTTAGTTTATTTTTGATTTACATGCATAATTCGTGTCGGGGAAGTTTTCAAATAGGCAAAGGTTTCTAAATTACTTTAGTTTTCTACTCTTTTTACATTGACAATTTACATTTAATTATTATTTTGATTTTTAGTCAATTTGCTTTCTAAATTTCTCAAAATTCCTTTTATTAAAATTTTCTAATAATTCACTACATTTGATTTACTTTTGGTTTTGAATATTAACTATACCCTTGCTTATGTGGATGCGTAAACACGAATAGAGTAATTGAAGAGTTAGGTTTGGAGGCAACTTCCCCTTGATAAGTTCTGTCTCCTGCCTGCTCAAACATTGTTCACTAATGCAAATTAATTTAGTCTTAAAAATATTATTAAAAAATTTTAGGATTAATTTTTTTGAATTATATATTTTTTTCATGGTTTTAGATACTTGCACTTAATTTACATATGCTCTCAGAATTTAAATGATATTGTAAATTAGTTGGCAGCAATAATTAATAATTTACTGTATTTGACGGCATATAAAACACACCCTTATTTAGAAAGCCACACACGCACGCGGGAAAAAAGTTACAATAGTCCGCGCGAAAGCGTGGTACCACAATAATTTAAAATGTGGTTTCTTTTAGTTCTCATGTTTCGTAAAAGCCAAATAAACAATCATTGAATGCAATTACCAAACATATTTTTATTAAAGAAAATTAACAAATGGCAAGCTATTTTGAACATGATATCTAAATTTCAATAATGAATAAATGACATGATACAATCAAACATGATACAGTCAAAAGTCGTTAATTCAGACACCCATAATCCGGAATGATCTATAATCCGGACCTCAATTAGCTACAAACTTTCTGCGCATGCATCGCGTTGACCTTTGCGGCTGCAAATATGTGTGTGCGCATGACTGTACAAAATAAAGCAGAAATAAAGCAGAAACCTGCACTTTGGCGTAGTTTAACACTCCTAGTTTATACTGAATTGTATAGCTTAATCTCTTGTTTCATGTAGTCATATTTTCCAGGGTATTTTTTTTTTAAACAAATAGTTTTAAGCACCGATACTGACACGTTTATACAGAGTAGCACCGATATCGACACGTGTGTTGGCTTAGTCAAGTAAAGTCTATGTAAAGAAGGAAAGGCTCCATAGACATAATGTGACCGTCAAACCTGTTTGAACTTTGACATCAGCTTCAAGCTTTGGCGCTTTTTGGCGACAGATATTTCACGCATGCGCAAAATAATTATGGCAGATGTAGAAAAAGTTATGTGTGTTTAAACCTTTATCCGGGCTAAAAATAGCATTCAGTATTGAAAGTTAACATGTGTCCTTCACGTATAAGATGCAGGTAACTTTTTTGAGACCAAATTTAGGAAAAAAAGTACATCTTATATTCCATCAAATACGGTATTTGTATGCAATTAAAATTTCATAATTTAAAATTTTAATTAACTTTAAATTTGTTGTATACGAATAGAGAATGTATGTTAAGCTATGTTTAGTGGTTATTCGTGACATGTGAGTTCTCATAATCTATCAAAAAAATCTATCAAGAATGTTAGTTATAATAAACTGTAATTAAAAATTATGTATGTGGTACTCTTTGCATTTTGGCTTGGAAAAATGTTTTGCTTAACAAACATTAATAGGCAGTTTTAATATAAACTGTGCTGTTTGCATTTAATCATAAATATTTCTGTGTTTTGTGCTATGATTATAGAAATATTAATTGTTTAGTAATAAGATTTATTTTTCCATGTGTTATAATGTATATCCTATTGCATAAGTTTGTGAATGTTATGCTATGCAATGCAACCTTTTTTACTCATTTATTTTTATTTTTAATAATTTTATTAGTTACATTATGCCCATGTGTTAATCTATTTAAATACTTCTTTATAGAAAATATTCACAGAAGGAGACATTGCTTTTACTCATTTTATTAGAACAACTGATGAAAATCACAAAGAAATAGTTCAGAGCTTTTGGGTATGTTTCATGATAACATTAGGTGTTAAAATATGTTTAATTTATTTTATTTAAAGATAAATTCTTTTATTTTTTATTTTTTAATAGAGGAAATTAAAGGATAATGGTCATATTAACAAAAGGCAGATATGAAGGATGGTACAGTGTAGTAGAAGAGTCATTTGTCCCTGCATCTCAAGTGAAGGAATTAAAAGAAGGTTCTAAAATTACAGTGGTAAGATTATGTATTGCAATTTTTTAACTTTTTATAATTTTCATATATGGTTTAAAATTAAGCTAGTACTTTGACTTCCTCTCATTCTCATCACCTGAGCACTGGCTTCTCTTTCATTGTTTGCTTTTCTGCAGCTGAAGAAGAAAGTTCTATATTTAGACCTTCAAAATTAGTTCTGCAAATTTATGAATATTGTGCTGATTCTTCCTGCTCTAATTCTCAACTCACTCAACTCTGTTTGAAACAAACACATTTTGTTTTCCAAAATAAATATTACAAGCAAACTGAGGGATTAGCCATGGGAAGCCCCCTCAGTCCCATCCTGGCTGATATCTACATGCATTATTATGAATCAAAATTGTTTGAAACTTTAAACTTCCCGGCATGGTTCCGCTACGTAGACGATACTTTTACCCTGTTTGAAGGTAATAAAGATGATTTAAATAGAGTTCTTTCAACAATGAATTCTATTGATCCTGCTATTCAGTTCACTTTTGAACTTGAGACTTGCAATTCTCTTCCGTTTCTCGACATTCTGGTTACACGTAACACATCCAACTTCAGTACTACAGTTTACCGTAAACCTTCATCGGTTTGCCTTCCACCACACTTTAAATCATGTCATCCGACTAAACAAAAGTTAGCTTCATTTTATTCCTATGTTTTCTGTGCTCTTCAAGTTTGCTCCTCCAAACTAGCCCTTGATGAAGAACTAAATTATTTAAAAGCAATAGCTATTGACAGGGGCTTTTCACCCAACATTATTAATCAAGCAGTTAAAAAATTCTCATCTCAACACACTAAAAGCCACACTCTTATTTTAGGAGATTATAAAAATTCTGTTGTCATTCATTCCCTTCTTTCCATCAATTAGCTATAAAGTTGCACATATTTTGCAGAAATTTAACTTTCGGGTTGTTTACTCTCCCATCAATAAAATTCCAACTTCTATACTCAAGGACCCCCATTCCGGATATGAATTCTTGGGGTATTTATAGGATTCCTAGCCAGTGCGGTTTAATTTACATTGGCCAAACTAAGAGAGCCTTAAAATTTCGCGTCAAAGAACATGAGGGCATATGTTAGAAAAAAGGAAACACAGAAGTCTTCTGTTGCTCAACATTGTTGGTCCGAAAATCACACTTTCAATTTTTCTCTGCTGCCAAAATTATTCAAAAAACATCTTCCATTGGAGAACTGGATTTTCTAGAGGCATTTCACATTCATAAAAATCTTTCTGTTCTAGTTAACGATCCTAATTCCAATCCAAATTTGCCTTCGGCTTTTAGAGAAATTATGTTTTAGTTCTGGTTTCGCCAACAGATGGCGCCACTTGCTTATTCTTGTCCAGGCTTTCTTATCTTATCTAAACATTATTTCCTATCTTGTTCATTTGCGGTTTTGCAGCTGAAGATGATGGTTCGGTAAAACCATCGAAACTAGTCCTGTGAAAATTTTGTAAATTAACGCTGATTTTTGTTGTTTGACTTCTGAATTAGTATTTATTCGCGTGTTATTGTGTCTTAACCACTAAAGATCTCAAATTTTAAGTTACATTTTATTTCGGCATGTCTCCTCCTCCTCCTCTTTATTTTTTCTTGTTCATCTAAAAGCATTTTGGTTGCTTCTATCCCCCCAGTAATGTATTCTAGATATGATTAAATGAGTGAATAAATGCTTCAGAAATTTTGTGACATATTCTGTTCTAAATAAGTATAGGTAAACATTTTTTTTTAGGTGTCATCTGAAACTGGATCTCCTGTGGAAAAAATGCTGGAAGAAAATTATGTTTTCCCTCTGTCTAAGTTTGAAAATGATATTTTACATTGGCTATCTCAAGATGGTATATCTTATAAAAATTATTCCTTAACAAAAAATGTTAATATTAAATGCTTTCCTAAATATTGTGGCTTTGTTTTACTTAAAAAAGAATGCATTTAGTGTAGTTTTTCATTTGATCTCCCTTAAAATACTCTATTTGTACAGCTACTCAGTTGCTTCAAATCATTCTTGCCTTTCAAAACATTTGTGAATTCCTCTGTATTGTGAATATATTTACTGTGAATAATGTAAGAAGTTATTCCTTGATTACTGTTTTCATTTTAAAATAGTCACAGATAGCAGATCAAGGAATGCACAGAACAAGAGAATAATGCCTGGAATTTTACTGTTATGTTTGGATTAGCACTGCTTTTTCAACTGCATTGTTGGCATGATCACAAAATCAGTCATTTGATGTTTATAACACTGGAATATTTTAATTTCATTTTCTTTTTCCTTTCAAGTGCATAGCTTTAAAGCAAATTCATTTACAATTTACTATTCTTCAAGCACAGTTTGTTATTATTATTATTATTTGGTAGCGCATGACTTTTTTTTTTTTTTTCTAAAATTATTATGAGAGCTAGCTAATGCTAGTTTCACAAATATAATTGTTACTGTCTATAAAGATTTTTTCATGGAGAGAATGACTACTTTCAAGTTGATTTTTAAGCTCTTGGTGTATTGTCTTACAATGCTGCTTTTACTGTTATGTTTGGAAATATGACCTAATCATAAGCATTTACAATATATGCAGTACTTTAGCTAAAAAGCTAAATAATTTCTGCAGTGTTTTTCATGTTTTGGGTATTTTGAGGATGATTTTACTAGGCCATTTGCACTTATTTAGTACTTTTGTCGGCTTTCAATTGTGGTGGTCAGTTGAAATATAAATGATCATTCTATTCAGTATTCATCCTTCTATAAAATAAATTATTCAAAATATTTCATTGAGCTTGAAATGAAATCTTGTGATTATATTAATACCTTTAGATATTTCTTATGAAAATAAAAAAGTGTGACTGAAACAAAATTTAGATGCTAATATAATATTAAATGAACCTGTGATAAGCTGAAGTAGAATCTTTTGTTCATCTTTTATCCAAGCAAATCATCTTTATTTATTAACTATTCTTTTAAATAGTTTTATAAAAAAATAATGGGTACTTTCTTATTATCCCCCTCCCTCATCCAATTTCAGTATTCAGACAAATCATGTTTTGGGGCATATGTTTGAATATACGCATGACAATGGCTGTCCCATGCATACCCGTACCACATATGTGTTTGAATGTATGTGGATGTACATGCATTAAATATAATCTCTATTTCACTGATCAGTGTTTTCAAAAGCACTTTTTGGATCATAACTAATCATAAGGGGGTTGTGGAGTGTATAAAATTCTTTTTAGTATTATTTATGAACAGAACAGTAACTTATTTATGCATAAAGTATACCTATGAGCCATAAAACTAACCATATAAAAATTCTTCACCAATTCACAACAGTGCCAATAATTTGCTGACTTTTCATGGAGGTTTGGGTAATCAGATAATAATATTTGCTTTGGATAACTTAAAATATGTGTCCTACGTATTAATTTGGGTAGCTATTTATATCAAATTAATAACATGGTATAATATAGTGAATAACATGGTCAGGAAACTTTTATAGACTTAATAAGGTAGTGTTAAGTTTATGGTACACATTATTTTTATTATTATTGATATTAAGATTAGTGAAATGTAGAACTTTGAGAATCAGACATGCATGTATAAATTTCAAAATAAATTAATGCTGTGTTCTAAATTGAGTACAGTAGGTAATTTATTCTGTTAAAAACCTCACCTTTGTATATCATCTTTCAAGTCACCTTTGCTTAATTTAATGAGTAACTCAGTCAAACTGAAATCTGATTTTGAAACTGTAAAATGTGATGTTTGCTGTTTATAGGTTAATAAAAACTGTCCTGAAATTAGTTTTCAAGGGCAAGTACCAGAAAGAAAGTTAATATTTAAATAAGAGCTGAGCATAACGCAGTTTAGGAAATGTGTGGCGGTTCCCCCCCCCCCCAGTCTCCAATTGAATAAATCTTTAACCAATGCAGTGCACTAGCAGAAACTTACTCCAAGACAGGAATTCTAGGAGCTGCCACAGACATACATTCATTCTTGTTGTTCCCTTTTGAGTGAGTGCCACATTTTGCATGACAGTTGTGGCTTACTTGCTTTTTCAGTATTCTAATCTTATGTAGACCTTTCTAGCATGAATAAAGTAATTCCCTGCAAGAGTACAACCCAACCAAGACTTGAATTAAAGTAGGCTGAGTGACCTTAAATGTGTCAAATCCATTGCCATGCACACTATACTATCATGACATCTAACCTGAGAACACATCAGGGTTTGAACAGTCCTTAAAAGTCCTTAATTTTGGCCAAAATGAATAAACGGTCCTTAATTTTGCTCATTTGACATTTCTTATCATTTCTAATGATTGCCATTCTAAGTGTGAATTATGATTTCTCATGAATATGGAATTAAAATTACACGGCTCTTAACCAATCTGTTGGCGGATTTGCGTTGCAAATGATTAAAAAAAACAATTAGCTACCCGAACGAAAGTATCGGTGTCTGATTGGCTATTCACCGCAATCTTTCGAAACAGGTGTTATCCATAAATTTAGGCAGATTGTGACGAAAGCGTGAAGCCTGGAAGTTCTTTAAGAGGCGAAAAGTGATGATGAAGGTGCTCGAGAAAAAAAAAGGGGGGGGGGAGATTCTGAAAATATTTGCCAAAATTAGAGCAATCCCAACCTGGAAGCCCACAACCCTTCCGACGCCAATAGGAACGAGATGCCTGGAAAGTGCATTTTCAATAAACTGTGGCTTCATCAAGCTGACTACAAAGACTGGATATTGATGGATGGCAATTCTTAAATGTGGTCTTTGTCTGAAACAAATTGAAATTTCTAGAATGGGAGAGTCAGCGCTGAAAATTCCCATGAAAATTAAGTTTCGTTTTATCATTTCAATTTGTTTTTACACGGTTTTGCTTAGCTTAATTTCTGTGTTTGTTTCAATTAAGCCATAAATTAATTTTTATCACCTTCTACGGAGTTTATTCTCTTTTGCACATACTATATGTATGGGATATCGGGATTATGAGTTTATTTCTGCAGAGGGTCTGTTATCGATTTCGCGGGAAATCTGTTGGCTCCATTTTCGATTTTAGGTCGCCAAGGGCAAATTCGGTAACGCTAGCCGAGAAAAAGTGAAGTTCGGAAATACGTTTTGAAGCTTCAATAGACAATTAAGTATTTGGTTTAAACCTATGTTGTTGATAGTAAATGCATAATAATTTTTGCTAATGGCGATACAATTATTAGTTGAAAATAACTAATTATTAAAATTTTTTTAATATTTTTAAAGCTGAAAACAACTAATTGAAACTAATTTTCCTGAATTAACTAGATCAGGGTTCGTAGCGGTCCTTATAAGTGCTTATAAGTCCTTATATTTGAAAATAAAATATAAAGGCCCTTATAGGTGCTTACTTTTTCTTTAAAACCCTTATTTTTTTGTTTTTAGTGCTTATTTTTTGCTTTTAGTGCTTTTTTTTAAATGAACGCGTAATTTTTCCCCGTACCAAAGCCGAAACTAAATAAACAACTTTTCTTCCTAATATGGAATGTCAGATTGTGAATCATACTCCCGGAAACAGCTTTTCCCCCTTTCTCTGCATTAACATAACCTCTGGTGTGCGCAGAGAGTACAGACAGGTGCCCGTCGTTCTGTTGGTCAAAGAATTGCGAAAGCAGTAGAAAATTCCGGTACATTTGGCATTCTCTACCCAAATACTACACACGTTTGAATTTCTATCAAGATCTTAATAATTTGCATTCTCGTTCCGCTTGGTCAGTTCATATTCGATTTTATTATGATATTATGATCGTTATGCTTATAATATGAGCATATGTATGAATGTTTATAATAACATAGTTGCAGTAACTGCTGAAGTATAGTAGACTTCCAAAAATGGTTTTCCACAGATTTAGCTTTCTAATTAATGATATTCGGAATACGTAAATAAAGGGAAAGTAATCGAATAGTCAAAATAATTTCATTTTTTTGGCCAATACATTATACAGTACGAAGGTTGGGAGGTTCTTCCCTTTCTCTGCAAAATCACGAATATTGAAACTGTTACAGTTCGTTGCAAAACAAGCAACAGACTTTTTTTTTGGTCACTTTCCAATCTGTATTGAATAAGACTAAAAGTTTTGCGGTCTACCAACCCAAGCGAAGAATGATTCTATTCCGGAAATTTAACTCAGTCTGTTGAAAATTATAATGAAAAACACCCCAAGTCTCTTTTTTTTCCTTGATTTAGTTCTTTATTCTCCCAATATCGGCAGCTGTTGAATCCGATTGCGTAATATCATGTAGGGAAGAATTACGGCGCACATATTGCGCAATAACGTTTGCGATATTTTGCAGAGATAATTAATTTTGATGTTCGGTCCGAGATTTGTTTATGAACACTTAAAAGAGTTTTACTGTGCTTGCTAAGCAGAATATTTTTCTGTTCCATTGGTTTGTTTTTATATGATGCACATATCGAAATGTCAAAAGCATTTATTTAGCGGAAAAATCTAAAGAACGGTTACAATCTATCCCCCCCCCTCTGCTCCTCTTTTTCAAGTTACGCTCGACTGTCCGAATATTCTCCAGTTTTCAAGTATGCGGGTAGTTAAGCTTTTACTGTTAAAGGATGACTGCATGAAGCAAATTTCTGTCTTCTGATTTCAGAAATGTTCCTCTTTTTTTACTTAAATTACTTTGCTTGCAATATCTGTTAAGGGAAAACTGATATACGATGAAAATTTAGATTTAAATTAGTTAAATATCAATATGAGTGGAAAAATAAATTGCATTTATTATTAAGTTCCAAGCAAATAGAATAAATATGCCTTATTATTATTTATTTCCTCTATTTTGAACTGAAATTTCATCATTAAATC